TTAACTTTTTACCTAAAAGGCTACTAATTAATGATGATGCATTACATTTTTGCTGAAATAAAAGAACATGATATATGATAAAAATAAATTCATCTTAAAAGCAGGAATTTCTTATTTAAAAATGAGATAAAAGGGTAATTAAGTAAAAATTAATCTGAATTTTTATCTGATGCTTATAGATGTAAAGCTATCTTTGCCTTTTAAATATATTGTAATTTATACATGGTTTTATTTAACCTGTTAACTGGGGAATAAGCTTTCAGTAAAATCGTTTCAAAATGGGGACTTTTTCCTTTGCAGTAATTTCAGCACATCGCAAGGAATAAATAAAAGAAAATCGTTTTAAAATATTTAATGATATTAAATATTAAAATTAAACATTTTTAATCCATAAAAACAAATTAATTGAACGAATTTAAACAATTATTTCGTATGATATTCCCTAAAGCAATGCGGCATACACAAAGCAACACTGCAGTCGGGACACCAAAATCTCGATTCTTTCCCTAAGACCTTTGGAATAGCATAATTTGCATCTCCTCGTTACATTTACTCTTGAAGAGTCGGATGGTATATAGTCTGCAAAATGTCTTTCAAAGAGTCGAGATGGTTTTGGTGTCAAAGATGATCGTCCTGTACTGGTAGATGGCAACTGCTATCGGTCTCTATATTTTTCAACACCTTTTTCTACAGTTTCGATAAGGAAATGAAGCCTATCTAGGTGACCGCCATCTGTCTTGTATAAAAGATATGCATTCAAACACACCATGTCTAATGCATGTAAAAATATCTTATAGTAATACTTTTTTACTTGGTTTCTAGCGATTTCATAAGTTTTCATTTGTCCGTCAGCAAGATCAACTCCTCCCATATTTTTGTTGTAGTCAGCGATAACTTCCGCTTTTAATATCGTTTTCCTTTGTTTTTCTATTTCTACAAATTTATTGTCGTGGATAGTACTCAATATAATTACAATCCTTTTTGTCTTTCCACTTCATAATCATTATTTTGTCTCTGTACCTAGCAATATGTTCATCTTTTTTCAAAACACAATTTTTTGATATTCAGATGGTATTCCCTTTCTATTTTTTCGCATTGTTCCTACAACATCAGGTTTTTCTTCTGCACATCTTCTCAGCTAGATCAGTACCAGTATACCAATTATCGAGATATAGCGTATATCCCTTATCCAACAAATCGTGGCACAATTCAAGAACAATACGATTTGGTCCCTGTTCTTCTGGATAGTTCGAACCATACTGCGTGTCTTTACCTGTATATATAATGAAATCACTTATGTATCCGGATTTACTTTCACATATCTTATACAATTTAACACCAAATCGACTTCTTTTCGATGGAATGTACTGTTTCCAAAACAGTCTTCCTTTCCATAGCAAAAGAGACTCATCTACAGATATTTCCTTATCTGGTACGTATAACACCTTGAATTTGTTTTTCAAATAGTTCAAAATGGAATCGATTTTGTAGGTTTTTTTGTTGCACACTTTTAGATCGAAAGCATTGTTATCACTAAAATGTAAAAATTTTACTAACAGTTGGAATCTTTTTTCTGACATAATTTTATAAAAAAAAAAAAAAAATGGAGTCTCCAGACTTTCTCGCTTTGTGAAATAAAGCTGATAAGAAGGTTTTCCTATTATTCCTTGCAAAATTAGTAAAAAAAAAATACTCTCATCTCTCGGTCATCTGCGTCAATCTTTGGTCAACCCACGAGAGACATCTTGAACGCGGTTTCATGGAAGTATTTTTTTTTTCAAAAAACTGTCCAGGCGTATTTGTTTGATTGTTCCACAATAAGTTCTACAAAATTCTCATCGAGAAATTTCTCGAAATAAAAAAGGCAATCTTTTTCTTCAGGTCCTTCAAATGTAAGTCAAGATTGAGATAAAAACGGGAAAGGCGATCACAATATTCTTTCACATTTCCATTCAGCTGATGTCGGTTGAGTATTTTGGTCTATAACATCATCATCCTTTGATTCAATGTCCGGACCATCAGTAAAGAAGTCGTTATCGCTTTCTTCCAAAATGGTACTTATTCTTAGAATTCTATGTCGTTTACCAAACATCCTGGGCAATATTTCATCATCACTTTCAGACAATTCAAAAATATTTTCTGCTTCACAATAATTTTTAGCCATATTTATAAAAAACTAACAAATACTCAAATCAACAAGTTATTACTAATATGTAAAATACTGAAATGCAGACTAAAATGAAATTAAGTTGTGCAAATTAGGAGTGTTATCACAATTTATGAGCGGACAAGTGTTTCCATTGATTGATTTTTCTTGAACAACGGACAAGTGACAGATTGCAAAAAAATCTAAGAAAAATTTCGTCATGCCCATCGGAATAGTCTTCCCAGCATGACGAAAAATTTCGTCATACCCATTGAAATAGTCTTCCCAGCATGACAAAAAATTTCGGCATACCCATTGAAATAGTCTTCCCATCATGACGAAAAATTTCGTCATACCCAGTTAACAGATTAATTTGATTTATCTGTTTTACCAAAATTTTGAAATTAATATTTAATTCCTTCAACCAACTCAGTTTTATTGAAATTTTTCACACATGTATATTAATAATGATAATATAATATTCTCCAAGAATATGGTAATTTTTTTAAAAATTATTGTTGAATTTGTGTCGGATATACTTGTTTAATGGTGAAACTGATCATTGCAGGATTTTCATCTGTAAAATAAAATCAATCTTCCAACTGAACACTTTTGGGAATTTTTAACACAGTTTACTGACTTTAAGCTTCCCCCCCCATTCTTAAACCATTTGATTTTTTACTTATTATGTAGTTGCTAACAAAAATAGATTTCTAATTCCCAAGATTTAATACTTCACTATTAGTAGTTAAAGTTGAGATGAGATTTCTGAAGCAAACAATAAAGGCAATGATTTTCTTTCATCATAACTTTTCTGTATTCTGTAGATTAAAAAATATAAAATGAAGTACACTGTAAAACAAAAGTCAAAGCACCAATTTTTTTGCCAGTGATTTGGAGGCATAGGATTTTAATATTGGTGCTAGTACTTGAAGACCATGAAGTGATTCCTCCATCTTAAAAATCAAGTCAGAATCATCAAGTCCAAGGTGTGTGATAGATAATAGAAACATTTCCTAACCCTGTCTTGAACCAGTCAGCTGCAGCTTGTCCTGCATGATTTAGAGCAATTTCCCACAAAATGATAGGTGGATCTTGTGGGGAGTATTGCCACTTTTCTGAAATAAATAGTAATAAATTATAGCTAAAAATGAACAGTAATACTATAAATTAACAGTCTGCTCTCAAGTTATTGTTTACATAGGATAATATTATCTAGTCATATGGAAGAGTCATAACTTTCAATTATTGAGGTTGTAATAAACTCTTTGGGAGAGGCAAATAAAGATGGCACTTATTTGGTACTTCTTTAGAAGCTTTTGTCCATCTTGTTTCTATTCTGTATGGTAATGCAGATTCTCCACAAGCGTATAAGAACTGTTGTTGTTTTATGCCCTTTGACAGAACCAGTTCCAATGCTATGTATTAGACTTATACCAGGCTCTGTTATTCATGTCACTATACAAATGCCTGAAATAGGAAGGGAAAAGCCATTTACTCTGAGGAAATTAGGTATGGAACTAAATTGCAGTGTCATTATTTTGTTCTAAAGGATGTAGTGTTTCTACTGCTGTACTGCATTGTTAAAATTCCAGTCCCTGTATGTGCAATTTCATCAATGTGTAATTACAGCTTTGCAAGCATGTTCATGATTAATTAACTGGATACTCATTAGGTAATCCTAATTGCAAAGGTAAATTTTTATGATATTGAATCATATAATGGAAAAACAAAGATACATCTTTTATTATTTTCGGCCCACCAGCGGCCGAGTGGTAAAATCGCTGAACACTGGTAGTTCGGTCCGAGGTTCAAATCCCGCAAACGGGCTGGCTGCATGGACGTTTTCTTGGTTTTCCCCATGTGTAACGTGTATACGAGCCATTTTCCCTTAGAAAGTTCTCCACGAAGGCATCCCTTCCCTTAGGCAGATAGCGCTCGCGTTCTTTGCCATAATTAAATACACCAACACCTTTTATTATTTTCCAAAATAAATGCAGACCTTTCTGTTTGCTGTTTCATAGGCATATAGATTTAAATTAATCATTAGAGAACTTTATTATGGTTTAAAAAAAAGGTAGTACTGTTAATTTTCATGAGGCTAGAATTAACAATAAATATTTCTAATTTACTTGCACAGTGTTAATAAGTGCTTCACAGTCATTACTAGCAAGGAGAGAACAGCCAAATAAAAAATTTATTGGAGAGAATCTGATATGCTGTGCATTTAACACAATTAAAACGTTTGAGTACACTATTCTTGATTTAGCACAGTTTTATGAAAGAATCATAAGTTAGAATAACTATGAAATCTTTTAGTAAGTTAGAGAGTTTGCTTAGCTCAAATAGAATACAAATCAATGTTAACAGTCTTTACAAACATTTAAATCAAAGTGTTGAAATAAAGAACTTGCAAGATGCTCATTTATAAGTTTAAAATATCTTCAGGCAATATTATCAGGAGTATATTCTATAAAATGAAGGTAACATGGCTGAAAAAGAATGAAACACAAATACAATCCAAGTATAAAGTCTTTTTAAGACTTCTGCATCTAAAAAACATAGGTAGAATCCTCTCTCACCAATATATCGTTTAGTGCTCGCTTGTTTTTGACATTGCCAAGTTTCTTCATGCAAAAGTTACACTAATTTATTCTAATAGAAACACATGTACGTTTCCACTGACTGGTATTTATATAGTAAGTATGTAATATGTATATCATATTCTGAATGCTGAAATTTAGTATTATTTTATATTTTTTCATTAGCTAGAAGTTATGTTTTCTTACATAGTTTAATTTTAGTTGTGTACCTGTGTACATTTTGAAATATGAAATAGTGGGTTTCTTTTTAGTTAATGGCATCAAATATAGATGATGAAGAATTGGAAAGTTTTAATGGGCAAGAAACAGAAAAAACAGAAGAGGTATTTTTCATTGATTTTTTTTTTTTTTAATTTAATGCAGTCACAATCAACGTATTACATTGACTACTAAATAGCTATTACATGATATGTATGTAAGATATAACAAAATACAATAGCTGCTTTAAGAATAATTGATGACCTTAAAATTAACCATTCTAGAATTGGTGCTCTCCCCCTAAATTTATCTGTTCTCCCAAAATCAAGATCCTTCCATGACAACCTAAAATTAACCAATCACAGATTAGCTATACTTATACATCAGACTTAGTATAAATATTTTTGGCACAATAACCATGTCATTCCTTTTCCTAGCTCCCGCCCGATGCACTCTTCTGTCACCCTGCTCTCCCAACTTTTCTTTTGAAAGGGTAAATATGTAAGATATAACAAAATACAATAGCTGCTTTAAAAATAATTGGCGACCTTAAAATTAACTATTCTAGATGTGGTGCTTTCCCCCCTATATTTATCTGGTCTCCCAAATTTGAGATCCTTCCATGTTGTATAAAAACCTAAAATTAATCAATCACAGATTAGCTGTACTTCGGATTTAGTATAAATACTCATGGCACAATAACTACATCATCCTTTCCCTGGCTTCCCACTATGCGAGCATCTTTATGCTGTATGCCCTCCTCTGTTCTCATTCTAAGGTAATATAATGTGCATATAAAAAATATTGTAATTGCTTATGATCTAGAAATAGCTTATTTACTAATTAATATGTGCGAAAATAAAGCTTGGTGGTTTATAATTGGTGATATGCCTTAACCATCAGCCATGACGGATATTGAAAGCTGTTAAAGTATTGCATGCATTAAATTATGCATATCATAAATATCTTGTAAAATGTGTTGATTAAAAGTTTATTTATTTATTTTAAAATGTTGTATTTTAATTCAGTTAAGCATAGAGTAAAAATTAAAATTTCATATATTTTTAATGTCTTTTATGTTTTTAAATGTGCATTTCAGTAGATTTTCTTTATTTATTTTTTGTCTTTGGTTACTTATTTATGTTTAGAATAAATGAAGTTCATGTAGTTAAATTTTTTTAATTTGATTGCTTATACAATTTTTATAGGTTTCTATGATAAGTTGTTAAAAAATTACTTAAATTTTCTTACATAAAATATGAACATTTAAGATAAAGTTGCAAGTTGTAATATAAATTGTTCATATTTAAAATTTTCTTAAATATGAATATGAAAGATAAATTTGTGTATCATAACTAAAGTTATGATAAACAAACTATATGAAAAAGAATAATAAATTAAGACACAATAACACGCCGAATAAATACTAATTCAGAAGTCAAACAACAAAAATCAGCGTTACCTACAAATTTTACAAATGTGTGAAAAATTGTAGGGTTATAAGCGTAATCATTGCTTTAATTTTTTTATAAATTCCAAATGATCTCCAACATACTAAATTAAAACCAAAAACTATTAATGGTGGTAATAATAATATTCACTAACAAGAATATGGTAATAATATATTCAGTAAAGCTTCACACCAAAAAACACACTAAGAAAAAGAGTTCTATTATTTGAGTATCATTTCATTTTCATAAATCATCAGTAAAGAAGAAAATCTTGCTGTATTGTAAAATGCTAATTTTAAACAAAAGGAGAAGATTCACTAATTCTTCTAATGTATATTCCTATTTCTATGACTAAATATCTACTAATAAGATTTGAACACATTTTTTTTTCCCAAATCCAACTGGCTCTTCCAAACCAACTTATTCAAATGTAATCTACTTTCAATTATTTTACACTTAGGAAATATAAGTTATTAGAATAATATTTTACTTCATGTACTTGAATTAAAAAACATAGGTTAAAAAAATTAAGCCATGAAATAATTAAGTTTGAGACAGTGAAATTCTGGTTGAAGTTACGTAGCAGCTGGACAATGTTGGTGGTGTTGTGACTTATCTCGCTTGTCTGACAGTAAGATCAGAACAAGCCTACGGAATTCATCATGGCAAGGAGTGCAAGATTGTGCATGTCATTGGCAAGAGCCTTGAGCACCATACAGGTGACGGTATGACTTTGCTCAGTTCTCCTCCCAATTTTGATGGAGAACATCTTGGGGGATGACAGGTTTGGGGGGTCCTCCACCCCTCTTCCCCTACCACCAACCTATCGAGAGGGTTTTCGACTCGCTACGTATTTAGAATGGCATGCCCCCATGCGTCCCAGATACTATACATTTACAAACATCTATGTCTTCTCCAGGATTTCACCCGGGCCCTTCGATACTGTAGATTAGCTAATCACTATCCCGGTTGTGTAGGAAAAGAGATATGTAAACTATTTGCAAACTTTTTTGGAATTTGTAAGAATAGCTAAATATGCTGACTGTATCAAAATGTTTAATTGTACTTTTAGCTTGTTTTGATAATTGTCTCATTTTGATTACTTATTTCTAGGATAACACAGAAGAAGAATTCCCATGGTGTGTTATTTGCACTGAAGATGCAAAGATGAGATGTTTTGGCTGTGATGGAGACCTTTATTGCATTCGTTGTTTCAAGTAATGTTCGAATCATCTTTTCATGTAAAAATCAAAAGCAAACAGGCAGTAACATATTTTGTATTTCTAGCACAGTTTTTTTCAACAGAAATACACTGTTCAACATTGAAAATGCAACACCAAGAAGGAGTGGTCAGAAAGTGATGAAATTTGGAAAAAAGACAGAGACAGCAAGGAGCAATAAGTGATCTTTATTTCAAAATTATAGTCAGAATACAGAGCGACAACGGCGTCGGCTGATTAGGATTAGGAGCGGGGGACGTGGGCACCATCCCTTTACCGTTATGGTTAATTGGTTTAGCGCCACATCCTCCAACATCCAGAGCAAGGCCAGACGAGGCCATATGTGAGATTCGCACCAGACGCCCAGACCCAGCAGCCTATTCATCCGGATAGCAGTCCAGCCGACCAAAGTGCCCCCGAGGAATACTCTAAGCCAAAATGCCGGGTCCAGCCTTAATTTGTTTCCAGGAGTAAAAAGTACAGTGCCAAACAAGGGCAGAATCTTTACATAGGTTAACATACAATTACATAGTTGATCACAATAAGATTATAGAATTATGACATTATAAATACCTGGAATTATCTGCCAAACAGTAGGTCTACTACAATAATACAACATATGCAAATTGGTTAAGAGTAGTAACATTGTGCAGATTATTGCTACTCGTATTTGACAAATTACCTTTAAAGTATAAATCTTAAAATTGCACTTAATATGTCATGTTGTTTAGAATTGATTACAAAATACAATATGCAGGGCATTGAATATGAGTTAAACATTAATACATTATTCTGCAAATTAAGGGCTATTCACTTTGTACATATTTGAAATTCAAATTCGTACATTTGTGCATTTGAAATTCAAATCCTACAAGTACGCTTATGCATTATGTATTCAGATTCGGCTCAGTAGGATGTAGAACCGCCGCGGACAGCGATGCATGAAGAAACACGTCTGGGCATAGAGTCAGTAAGAGTGTGGATGGTGTCCTGAGGTATGGCTCTCCATTCCCTTTCAACCATTTGCCGCAGTTCGTCTTCTGCACAAGGCAGGGGCAGAGTCTGCAAACAGCGTCCAATCACATGCCACACATGTTCGATTGGTGACAGGTCAGAAGAGTACAGTGGCCAGGGAAGCATCTGTATACCTTGCACAGCATGTTGGCAGATGCGAGCACTGTGTGGTCGGGCGTTATCCTGCTGAAAAATTGCATTAGGCAGCCCCTGAAGGTAGGGGATTACCACCGGTCGCAGAACATTATCCAAGCATCGTTGGGCCGTCATAGTGCCCTGAATATGAACTAGAGGTGACCTGGAATTGTAGGCAATAGTGCCACAATGTCGCGTGGTGGGGCATTCTACTGTTACTGCCAGATTAGATCTGTCTCCACGTCGACGCCACACAAGTATGTGGCGACTGTCACTAGATAAACAGAAGCGTGACTCATCTGAGAACACGACGTTTCGCCATTCTGACATCCACATCGCTCCAGTCCGGCACCATTCTAAACGTTGGCATCTATGCTGTGGGGTCAATGGCAGTCTTCTTAATGGACGCCGTGAGTGCAGGCCACGTTCAACCAATCGACGGGAAATGGTTCTGGTTGACACGGGAACATCCAGGGTATCTTGCACATGCTGCAGAATTGTGGTACAAGTGACTTGCGGGACCGCCACAGCTTGTCTGCGGATGCGTCGATCCACGCATGCTGACGTCTTTCTGGCTACACCTGCACCCCTTCTTTTTCCCACATTTCCATGTTCGCCATAGCCGATGCGCTGTGCTCGCATGCATGTGGGTATCAGCTGCGATTTGACGTAAGGACCAACCCGCCCTTCTCAGTCCGATCACCATGTCCCTCATAAAATCGTCTATCTGCTGGAATTGCCTTCGTTGACAGCGGCCCGGCATTCTCTCCTATTACACGTATCCTCCGGGACAAGAACCAAATTTCTTCGATAATTCATCTGGCAGAAATAATGACACGAATATTGCCCATTCTGCATGTTCCTTCCCTTATATCTTACTTCACATGCATCAGAGAGCTGCGCATTTCACATCATTCGCATAATACAGTGACATGCGTCTACTCTAAAATTTGCATAAATTTCTGACCACTCCTTCTTGGTGTTGCATTTTCAATGTCGAGTAGTGTATATTTATAAATATGAATTTCATTTACAACATTTTTATTAATTTATAAGTGGTAAATAATTAGTTATTCTATCAATGAAAGTGAGAAAAGGAATATTAATGGATGATACAATAAATAAGAGAAATGGAAAAGATTAGAAATGGCACTAGATATTTAAAAGTCGCATGTGCAAGTGATCAGTATAGGAATTTGTTACGATTCAGAATCTTTTATATTTCATTTAATGTAAAATATATCAGTAAATAAGAATAAAATGTGTATGCGTGTGGGGGGTGAGGAGTCTGTTTTATAATCTATAGACATGACATTGACTACAGTTGTAAGTTAACACTAGAAGCGCCGAGCTTTCTTCCTAACTAGAAGCACCAACGGCAGTCAAATTGACTGCTCAACAAATTAATGTATATATTCAAATGTAAATGCTTTATAATGCTGTTAAGAATATTAATTACATTTGTTGAAGAACTTTAAAGAATAACAGATTATTTTAATAAAAAATAGAGGATATTTAATTATAAATTTCAGCCTACCCTTAATAAAACACATTTACAGCTTTTCGCAATTTTTACAAACACAACTTTTTCAATATTGGAAGTGCATTTTCCACACAAATAATGAACATTTTTAGACACATCACTTGTTTTTGTTGTTACCAAAGTCCATCTGGCATTGATGTCTATTCTTCGAGAGAGTATTGCTAGATTTGAAATTTCCTGGGGCATTTGGGTTTTTCTGTTAAAAAAGCTCTCTTATTCCTCTGCTAATTGAAATAGGAGTTGTGCCTTGTAATATGTTTATCACCAATTTATGGTAGATAATGTAGGCATTCGTCCCTAAATCCAGCATATATAGAAAAATGCACAGCCATCTACGTAACAGCCCGACAGATATTTACGGTCATCTTGTCAACGATATCAACTCACATTGGTTTGTTGTAGAACTCTACTGTTTCTGAAGTTTCTTATTTTTGTGAGTCTATATTCACACTTGGATATAAGGTACTAGTAGTAGGAATTTTATTCCTTTTTCCCTGATAGACATTGAACGTAGTTTCACCATTCTTTTAGCAAACTGTCTCAATAGCCGGGTTTTTGATTTCCTTACTTCAATGAGAAATTCTTGTCGTCTTCTTACTGTGGACAAATTGTGTTTCATTAGTCTTCTACTAATGATAGTGAGGAAAATAATTGTCCGTTGTCAATTTGACCTGAATTCAGATAATGCTAGAAGACTCATTATACATTTTCAGGAAGACTTTCAGTTTCACTTCTCGATGTATTATTTCCAAGATATGGAAAAGCATTGCACATATACTTCGAGTCTAAATCGACTAACATCTAAAATTTGATACCGAATTTATCAGGAGAAATAATAAGAGAAATATAATGTAATAAGAGATGTGTAAGAGATAATATATGTAATAAGAAAAACTATTAGATTGCTTTATGTAATAATTATTCTTCAATTTAGTTTGTATTTTTTTAGGATGAAAACATTCGTATGTGCAATAATTGCATAAAACATTGAACAATATTTCTGTTTATAGCATATAGTGTAGAAAAACCTATGATAATTTTTTTATTATTATTATTATACGTTAAGTAAAATTCAGATTATTTAAGGATTGTAATGATTTAGATTATTCTAAATTCCAAAATCTCACATTAGTAAGCTTAAAGTTCAAAGTTCTATTTTTATAAGGCTTCATAAAAGTTTTCTATAAAATTGATTTTTCATGATGATCCTGAAGAAACTTCACTGAGTTTAGGATATTGCAAACTTTTAACATTTTCTGTATGCTATAACTCATCTATTTTGAAAGTTTCTTTTTGAATAATATTGCTTTTTCTTTTTATCAGTTTTCTTAACTATTTCAGACTTCCACTTCTGATGTTTAAATGATTTTCTTTTTACAATAAATTTATTCTCTTGTGCATTTTAAAAACAATTATTGAAAATTAAATATTTTTTAAATATGTGTAAGCTGATATAAATATGAATCAAACATAGTACAGCGTTTAGCGTTATCAAAAACTGTATGATTGCTGCATTTCAAAATTTAAAAAACTGCAACTGCTTCTTTTGATACCAATGCAGTGTTACATGATACAATATTATTTAGCAATTTTATTTCTTTCATATGCGAAAAATTGACAAAATATGATTAAACATTTGAACACAGCAAAATCAAGTTCCAGAATTTGTTATGGGTGCAGATTACCTAAGCATGGTGTTTGATGAAACTGCTGAAATTTTGATGTGAATGATAGTTATTAAATTAGTTTAGCTTTGTATTTTATTTCCACTGTAAATTAATTTTTGGGTTTGACTAATTTTTAGTTTTAAAAGATTTTAGATCTATGTTTGGTATCAATAAACTTTTCATTGGCATGAAAGAAAGAAAAAGTAACTAAACTGTATCTTGGTTTATAGTTCTTGCATTCATTGTTTAACTTGGAAATATTTTCTTTTAATTTTGATATAAATGCAGATTAAAAAATAGGGAAAGTGCAAGTATATTCCATCTGTCATTGGTTTTTAAAGCTTGATATTATAATTTGAGGATGTGATTCTCCCTTTTCACATGTTCCATAGCAAAAAATATTTATATGCAGTTTTACTCAAAATTTATCATCAGAACTCATTTCTAGACCAAAAGTTTAAATTGAGACAAATACTTCCTGAGACATGATGTAAAAATTGAGGGGGTAGTTAATTTTTGAGGGGCGAAAATAAAGACCATATTTATTGAACTTAAGTATGGTTTTTAACATTAATTAAAATTTATGTTGCATATAGTAGATTAGATGTGTTAATACCACAAATGTGTGTGATTTACATAAAAATTGTAAGATTAAATGATTGTGTTACGATAAACGAGTCATTGAAGATTGAAAAAAATCCTCTATTGAAGTCTGAACTGATATAGATCTTTTTCCTTTAGAAACATCAAGAGCAAGCATTTTAGATCTCACAGTAGGTTTTATCAAGCTGTTTTCCAGTTTGTTTAAATTGCTTTTTATTCTTTTTTGGTATTGATAGTTGCTACTTCTCTGGACCAGATATTCGTCTACCTTTAACAATATTTAACTTTCCATACAATTTTGAAACCATTTTAGTTCTTCTCTCATACCTTCCTGTAGGATTAGGGTAAGCTTCCTTGATTTCTTCAAAATTTTTTTGTTAAATTCTAAAGGATTCAAACAAAGATTTCTCTTCCTAACCTTCATGAAAATTTTCCTCGGTATGACACACTGCTCCTAAATCCTTTTTCTTACAGTTTAGAATAGGTGAAATAGGTCATAACTTATATAGGAACACAAAAATATAATATTGGTATATAAATTTGTAATATCCAATCATATTTTAAATAGTTTAATTTTGTAAGTTTGAGTGTTTTAAGAAGGCAAGCTTTTTCTGCAAAATTACTAACTAATATATATTTTTTTTAATAGGGAATGCCATGACAGTTTGGATATAAAGGATCATAAAACATGTCCATACTTGTCTCCTAAGAAGCCTTTAATATAAAGCATAATTTTTGTCTAAGCATTTAGTTTGGAAAGTAAGGTTGTAATTACAGTGCTAGCAGACAGGACTGCACTGCTTTTCATTGTAGGAAATGTATATATTTATATTTTTCTCACTAACTGTAAAATAAATTTATATTTTTTCCTCTTCTGCAAAGTTTCTATGCATAAATGCTAAAATAGGTAAAATTACTTTGTATGCACAATTTAATAAATGTGCATTATATAAATTTTATAATGTGTGCATTCCTGATGTATATTTTTAAACTTCTAACTTATGCTTTTACTTTGTATGAAGTGCAATAATAATCATTAAAATTCCATTTAAAAGAAATAAATAAAATTGCCGTTGCAAGTCTTTCTGAAAAATAAATTTTCATGTCAATTCATACGTAGATATTTACACATTTAGATTCGTGATAAATATTTATTATTTTGGAAGAAATTGAAATGCTAAAAGAGATTATACTGTATGAAGCTAATTAAATATACCAAGTGATTTTTCATTTGATATGATAGATAGAATTTTTTATATGATATGAATATTTGTTACACATTAAGGTACACGCAAAGGCAAATATATAATTATTCTATAATTTAAAAAAATATAAAATTGAATAAATATTTTTTAATTTGTTGTGACTCCATACTTTATGAAGTTTCGAGAAATGACATACAACTCCAAATGTACAATACCCATAGTAGTTGTCTGAAGCCTATATCGATCTAAACCGTAGTAAATATTTTCTGGACTTTTAAGTTGCAGGCTACCTCCTAAAAAATATTCGTAAATT